GAGAGAGAGAGAGAGAGAGAGAGAGAGAGAGAGCGAGCGAGAGAGAGAGAGAGGAGAGATTATGTGGCGTCGTGAGGCAGCAGACGAAAGACGAAACGATCCGAGCGCCTATCGTAATATTAAAGAATTCACTGCTAACTTTGTGTAGCATCTTCTTCTAACAAAACCTTTTTATATATATATACAATGGCAACATCCAACCAGCAAGCTAAATCCACGTGGGGAAACTCAGTAGAGCTGTGTCCCGTAGAGGCTGTCCAGGCCTCATCTTCACACATGTAATATTAAAGAATGTGGTTAAGGCCGTTTTCGTAATTATCTCTGCTAATCTATAAACGCCACCGCATGCGGTACATTCTTTCAAGAGCGTATAAAGAAGGATATACGTATCTAAGGATATACATATATACGTATATATACTAAGAATAATATACGTATATAAGGATATACGTATATATACGTATCCTTCTTTATACGCTCGTGATTCTTTCTTTCTTCCGTCTCGCAACACTAGCAATATTTGTGCCTGATTACGGGCAGGAAGGAACACCTGCAGCGAAGAATCGTATAAACAACAACGTCGATATGCAATATATCTGCAATGATGACAATCATCTCTCACGCCATGCAAAGGAACAGTACTGTTCGTGCGCTTTCTCGAAATCAACGTCAACATGGTATCACGCAGGAAGCTCGTGTAGCCGGTTATATGCTGGCGACAATCTACATGTGACATTACGAACAAGACGCGTCTTCGTCGGCACCCTGTGCTCAACTTCCGAAAACTGTAAACAGCAGGGGCCCGTTGTCAGAAGCAAAATTGGTCTTAACATTAGTCTTAACATTAACTTTTTCTCTTAGGCCGTTGACAGAAACGCTGCGAAGTTACGAGAATGAAAAATCGTAGCAGATTTCCTGATAACAATACGAAACAAAGTGATGTCGACGGTCTAGGAGAAATTGTAAATGTTAAGACTAATGTTAAGAATAATTTTGTTTCTGACAACAAGCCCCTGGAACAGAAGCGCACGGATGCGCGCTTCTTTGCCTACAAGGAAATGTAAATAGACGAAGAAGTAAGGTGGACGACTTTATCCTTCTATGCAAGTTAAGTAAATATCACGACTCACAGTCAGTCTTTTAATTTCTCTCTGCTTCTGGCAGCTGTGGTGGTGTGATCAGTGATTTTAAACAAAAAATCGCCCACGATATAGGACAGAAAATCCACGGGGGCAGGTTTGAATGACACTGGCGTTAACACTGGAATTTATAATTATAATTATTAATATAATATAATTATTAATTATTATAATTTAGAATTATAATTATTTAACCATTAAAATTTGGGAAAAATCCAATGCTCTTTACGATATTTCTGACAAGGATTTAAGAAAAAAAAAGATTTGGAAGTTTGGAACAAAGAAAAAAAAGGGTAGGGTTACGCTTAGCAGTATCCAGCGTTCTAACAACGATGCGCGCAAGGACTAACCATATTCATGTTGAAATTCCATTCACAGTGAAATGCCCAGTTGTGCATGAGAGAGCAGACCTGACGTTCGTTTCACGCATAATGCCACAGGTGAGTTCAGGAATAGGTGTGTTTATGCTTTGGACACGTTATGGTGCAGCGGATGCGCGAATAAAAATGGGCACAATACGCACTTTTAAGTAGAATTGTGAAAATTTGCAGACGTATACTACATACGTCTGAGTCTCAAAGGTTCTGAGGATTTTCTGATATAGTGTCAATTGAAAACGCCGTCTGCTATATTCGTTCCAGTGCGATGTAGGACCCTTCCATTTTTCACAGCCTTCGATAGCAGCGGAGACTGCCGCTAACGCCTTGAATGATATAGACAGACCAGCGAAAACTTCACGTCCGAGGAAGCCGCCATATTTGTGATTCCTTGTTTTTTTAGTTCAATCGACCGTTGATTACTAACTACCTCGCGTGGATGGGAGGAGGGTGAGGTGGAGGAGGGTGAGGTGGAGGAGGGTGAGGTGGAGGAGGGTGAGATGGAGGAAGGGTGAGGTGGAGGAGGGTGAGGTGGAGGAGGATGAGGTGGAGGAGGGTGAGATGGAGGAGAGTGAGGTGGAGGAGGGTGAGGTGGAGGAGGGTGAGGTGGAGGAGGGAGTACTACATAGGAATTTCGGAATGCCTTCAATAGCATCCGCGTATTAGCTGGCGTTGAGCTGTCTAACGCACGGATGGTGATGCCGTACGGGCTAACCGCTCTCACTGTCACGTCTGCGGGTATATACTGGTGCGAAATCTGAAAAAAGCTGGGGCGGCCAAACAGATGCCGCCTCGACCCAAGCACCACACCCTCACCGCAGGCAACTCGGCAGCAGCAAAGTTCAAGTGCGGTTACGGCGGCGTTTGCACATCGGCCTGCCATCGGCCTGCCATCGGTTTCACATACCTACTCATCGTCACAGGCACTTGGAGCGTTTCAATAAAATAGAATGTTAAATAAATACGAAATCTATTTACTACCAAAGTCTTAATGTTTCTCTACTCTCTTTCACCTATTATTGCCGACAACTTCCTGTAAATGCCGTCGAAATGCTCATCTGCAAACACACGCTGGCCGCCATTGCTGCCGCTGCACACTGACACTTAAATATAGTACAAGACTTTGGTAGTAAACAGATTTCGTATTTATTTAACATTATATTTTATTGAAACGCTCCAAGTGCCTGCGCTCATCGTGTTCCTTGGGCGTACGCCTAACACTGCATAATACTGCGTTATAACAGACGAGCGCATAAATTACATTGCTCCGACGCACGTGCGTGTGCGCGACATATAGTGTCGATGACGCTAGAACTAGCGTCATAACCCGTACGACTAGGATTGTAAATTTAATATGGGCCGTTAAGTTGCGTCCGTAAACGCACGCCGCTTTACGAGTTGACTGACTCACATTCGCTCGCGTTCCCGTCGACTTCATTCAGCTTACGCAACCCACTATACTAACTCACTAATTAGACTGTATGATAAAATTTATGTTTGATCGCCGGCACTGGGATTATAACCAAAACCGGACAAGCATTATAAATTTAATATTAATAGGTCGGGAATCAATACAGCCGGTCGTAGCTGCATCACGCTGCCTCTCATTCCGTCTCGCTACAAGAGCATCTATACATTCTACACTAATTGCGACCCTCGTGTTTCCGCGCATAATATATGTAAATGCGAAAAATGCTGGTAATGCGGTAATTTGCTGTAGTTCAGTGATGGCAGATGCACGCAAGCATCGTGAACGCTGCTGCTGAAGTGAGCATCGATGTATGACCGCACTAGTACTGATGAAATGTTCTAAATTCAAGCCCGAGACTTACATTACCCCGTCACTTCGATGCGTTTTTTTCTTAGAATGTCGCAGATTCGCATCGTGTTTCCGTGGAAACCAAAGGAAAGGAAATCCATCTTGGCTAGATAGCTATGCTCCCCTATTCGATATCGCAGCTGGGTCAATGAAGCTAGACCAGTTTGTTACGTGTGCACCTAAAAACGTCGATTTGGGCCGCACTTAAGCTTAATTAAGTTATAATAAAAGTTAAGAACATCCGATCGTAATTATTATTGGGTAGAAGTGCCTGCCAATCATGTCAGGTGAATTCAACCTTATAGAAAGGTTTCCTATCTTCCGATCTAGGCCCGTCCCCTCCCGCCTGCATGTGCCATTCCCGCAGGGATTTGGCCACAAGCAGTCACATTGTAGTTGTCAGACACCAGCTGGTGTTTTCCGCAGCAACCAAACTCGAAGACTTCCCATAAAAAATAGGAAGCTTTGAAGAAAGCTTTCCAATCCCCCACCAAGACACAGATATATAGAAAGTTTTCCTGCGCCTCTCAGAAACAGATATATAGTAAGCCTTCCTATCCCCCCATAATCTCCCCATCAAAATAAATATAGAGGAATCTTCCCAATCCATCACCACGCTCCTTCCCCCCTCTCTCCCATACCTCCCTCCCACTCAACTCCCCTACTCCTTCCTTACCCCACTTCCCTACTCCCTCCTTGCCTCCCTCCTCACCCCACTCTCTTCTCCCTCCCTCCCTCACTCCTTACTCCACTCCCCACCTCCTCAACTTCATCCTCCCTCCCACCACCACTCCCTCCCTCACTTCTCCACCACTCCTTCCCTCCCTCCTCCCTCCCTCCCTACCTCCTCCACTCTCTTCCTCCCTCGTACGCTACCATCAGGCTGCACTCACCTTGTACTCGCCGGTGACGAGCTGCTCCTTGACGACCTCTAGCTGCGCGATCACCGCGGTGACGCGTCGCACCGCATCCTCGCAGCTTCCCTGCAGCGCCGCGCTCAGCGTCGCGCGACCCACCACCACCAACTCCGTATCGTCGTCCGCGCGCACCGTGATGTCCGGCAACGGCGGCGCCACCGTCTCGCGCCGCGCCACCAGCTCCTCGGCGAGCCCGCAGGGGGCGCCGCCGTCACTCCCGCCTCCGCCGCCGCCGCCGTTGCCGCCGCCGCCGTCGTAGTTGCGCGTGAGTCGCTTGAGAACGTCGATCATCGACTTGCGAGGCTTCGCGCCGACCCCGACCCCCGAGGAGGCGGCGGCGGCGGCGGCAGCGGCGGCCCCAGCGCTGGGCTCGGACCCCGAGGCACTGTTCGACGTGCGGTGCGAGTCGACCGACTCGGAATCGTCCGAGTCCTGGTCTGAGCGCAGGCTGCTCAGCAGTCGCTGCTTCTTGTTGGTGATTGGACGGTCGGCGGCGGCGGCGGCCGGCGGGCTGCCTGCGTCGTCGTCGTCGTCGTAGCGACGCGTGCGCGGCTCGGCGTTGTCGTAGCGACGCGCGCGCGCTTCGGCGGCGGCGTCGCCGTCACTCATGTCGCTCGCGTTGTTGTTGTCGTGGTCATCGTCGTTGCCGTTTTCCACCGCCGCCGCCATCGTCTTCGTCTTCGTCGTTGTCAATATCTGGCTGTCCTTAGAGAGCTTCATCGGTTGGCTCTTACGCTTGGATGACATTCTGCAATGAGAGATGCGAGAGTGCAAATGAGAATGCAGGCAATGCCACCTAGTGTACTCGCATGTGAGCAGCGCCACCTAGTGTACTGACACGTGAGCAACGCCACCTAGTGTAATGACGTGTGAGCAGCGCCACCTAGTGTACTGACGTGTGAGCAACGCCACCTAGTGTACTGACAGTAACGTGTGAGCAACGCCACCTAGTGTACTGACATGTGAGCAACGCCACCTATCATACATACACGTGAGCAGCGCCACCTATCAGTATCATACATACACGTGAACAGCGCCACCTATCGTCTGCACGTGCGAGCACTGCCACCTATCGGCTGGGTACCGAATAAGTGTAACGTGAGACACAGCGGCTACCATTAACAATAAGATGATATACCAGGGGTTAATAATGACAAATTGACAATTTGACAAATGTCAATGACAAATGTTAATGTCAATGTCAATGTCAAATGACAAATGTCAATTGACAATGACAAATTGACAAATTAACAATGATAAATTTTGTCATTATTAACCCTTGATGATACAGGTTACCTCTGAGAAGCATCCAGCGTTTACGAGTTACGTTCAAGTTTAAGTTCTCGCGTAGTTGAGTTTTCGTTTACAATTTACAAGTTCACGCGGCCCGTATCCTCTTTCGCGCTATTGCACGCGTGCCGGGAGATAGCGGGGCAGACGCGCCATTATCTGCGGGACCACACTGGCGCCTGCCGAGCTGGGATCCTGCTCAATCAACAACGAACGTAATCAACGTCTTGAAAGTTTAGAGTAAAGACCTGCACGTGACTGCACGTGTGAACTGCGAAAGAGAGAGAGAGAGAGAGAGAGAGAGTGTGCGTGTGTGTGCGTGCGTGCGTGCGTGCGTGCGTGCGTGCGTGTGTGCGCGTGCGTGTGTGAGTGTGTGCGTGGACGACGGGCGGTCGATGATCCTTACATTACTGAGGAAAACGCAGAATTGATCTTATCTCCGCCAAGAAGAGGTTTCGCCTTGGCGATCGCGCAGCCCTTTCCTCCCCTATCGCGCATCATCGCACCTTATTTATAGACGCCATTACTGGTTGCTGTGACGTATGCGTGCGTGGGCCAATCAGCTGCTCGCGCTCTCGCTCCAACAACGCACACCCCGCGCGCGGGGAAAAAACCCAGCCGAAATACGCGAACGCACGTGTTTATTTTCGTTTCACCGCCGAAAGAAGTTCTTATTATGTACTAATGCAACAGCTCGCCCAGCGTGCTGAGAAACAATTTGCGAGGGCCTCCCCTCCAACGTCGTGTGCACACCGCCAGATATCAGCGACTATAGGTGTAGCCTAACTCTAGAACTATAGCCTTTCGCTCTGCCAGAGGCCCTGCCACTGCCCGGTGGAAGAGCGAAGGACTATAGTTCTAGAGCTACCACCGGCCCTGCCACTGCCCGGTGGAAGAGCGAAGGACTATAGTTCTAGAGCTACCACAGGCCCTGTCACTGCCCTGTGGCAGAGCGAAGGACTATAGTTCTAGAGCTACCTCAGGCCCTGCCACTGCCCTGTGGAAGAGCGAAGGACTATAGTTCTAGAGCTACCTCAGGCCCTGCCACTGCCCTGTGGAAGAGCGAAGGACTATAGTTCTAGAGCTACCTCAGGCCCTGCCACTGCCCTGTGGCAGAGCGAAGGGCTATAGTTCTAGAGCTACCACAGGCCCTGCCACTGCCCTGTGGCAGAGCGAAGGGCTATAGTTTTAGAGCTAGATGTTGCCATGACGTAACCGAAGACGCGCACGTTTGTGATCTAAGCATAATCAACGACTTATTTCTATGGCGCACAGCTGGTCCCACCGCAACGAGTATCTCATTAGAGCGGCTATGTTAATACGTGTGCCCTCTTGAACAGTCAAGGTGCAGACTGACTGACTGGTTCGTTGGCAGGGTAACTGCTGGGGTAACGCAGCGCTGTGGTGGGTGGGTGGGTGGACGGAGGGGAGGGGGAGGGGGTGAAGTCAGGAGCGAGCGCGTAAACTGACCCACGTAACTTTAACAGCATTTACTTCACCCTTTCATTCTCACCCCTCTCTCTTCTCCCTTCTTCTCTCTCTCTCTCTCTCTCTCTCTCTCTCTCTCTCTTCTCCCTTCTTCTCTCTCTCTCTTCTCTCTCTCTCTCTCTCTCTCTCTCTCTCTCTCTCTCTCTCTCTCTCCCTCTCTTGTTATTATTATTATCTCTCGCCCTCGC